GTATTGGCCCTAATTTGTTTTCAGACCGGACTATTGTATCGGTGGTAGGGATTGTTAAAAATGTAGTACCTATTATAGTGTGGGCTTTAGGCTTGATCTAATGACATGCAATAGAATAACGATAATGAATGTAGCCTACTCTAAGCATTGTGGAAGGAACCTAACCTCAAAATTGTGCTTGACCACTGTCAACCAGACGATAGGTCTAACTACCTGCTGATGCTGCTCTAACTAAACATCAAAACGTCCAAAACTACTGTGGAACAGAATGTAAAGTTCTCTGTTATACAGCAACATGAAGGGATCCCTGACTTTGATTTGTAGAATGTTTTGCTGACAAAAATTAGAATTACTGCGTGACTTTGAATTAATGAGTGTTTTGCTGACGAAACTTAGAATTAGTCCTACTGTGTACATTCCAAATTGGCCTTGCCTTTTTATGTGGACTTGGAAATACAGAGAGAAACATCAAAATACATGGTAACAATTTGGGTAATTCTGAGTAATTACTTGATCAACCCCAAACTTTTTCATTTCTACTACGGTCATAAGGAGAAAACAAGAAAAATATAATTCAAGCCCTGCAAGGCCATCATAAAGGTTGCCGAGCGATAAGAAGGTTCAAAGTCCAAGCGATAACAGTGGACTGCGGGAGACGCGCGGAAGGCCAGTTGTGACAGTACCCAGGGCCGGCCCCAGGGGTGGGCGGACCAGGCGGTCGCCCAGGGCGGCGGGGCCAGGGTGGGGCCGGGGCGGTGGGGCCGGTCGGCGGAGCCGGGGTGGCTGCGGCAGAGCCGTGGCGGGGAAGCCGGGGCGGTGGAACTGGGGCGGCAGAGCCAGGGCAACAAACAAATTTTAGGGAACAGTAAATTTTTAATACGAATAAAATAATAAATTCATTAAGTGAATGTGAAGAGTACAATTATCTATATTGTAACATTTTACGCAAAGAACAAGCCTAAGAAGATAAACGGCAATTCAAACATCGATTTAATATTATAATTTACGCCCAAATATAAAAACAAACCACTCGGCTTGTGTATCGAACAACCGTCGCCACGACGTTACCCAGGACGAGTGACAGCGTCAAAGCAACACTGCAGCGGTTGGGATTGACCTGGACACGTATTTCTCTTTCTCTCTCTGCCTACTTCCACGACGTTGTGTTTACTTCATTATTGATTATTTTGGTAGCATGGGCTTCCCTTCCCTCCGAGAGAGAGGAGTTGCAAAAATGAAATATTTTGCAACTTTTTATCTTAATAAACAATGTCGTACAACAATTAATAACATTGCCGTTTAGGGGAAAATCCAAGATGGCAGAAAGTCCTGCCGACTCTTAGGTCAGATTTTAAACAAAAACCAAAAAATAATTGATATCTCTGCAACTTTAAACATCAACCTGCTTATGAAATGAAAATAATTTTAAAATGTGAAATTTACACTTAGAACCCTTAGTACATAATTAAGCAGAGTTCAGGGAGACACCATAATTCGGCGATTGCTCAAGGAAGGGGTGGAGCCCAGGAGTAAACAATTAGGCGGGACAGTGGTGTAGATACGGGGGGGGGGGGGGGTCAGGGGGATATGTCCCCCCCTTCAACCTATAATGGGTAAACAAATTGTCATAACATTTAAAAAATAACGTTTTAACATATGGAATGAAATAGTGAACATTTTTAATTTTACTTCTATTGTATTAAGCTTGTTTTTCGAAAGTATACTTTCAACATCAATAAATCGTAAATAAACTAAACTGCAATGCCAGTGAAAGTAGTATGGTTTTTGCGCGCGAAACAGAGTACAGACACAAGTCACGGAAGGTCAACTCCAACAGCATTAGCCTATCTGCCCCTCCACAACCACCACCACCACATCACCTTTTACACCTACCTGAAATTAATCGTTTTAACGTGAGCAATAAAATAGTTAATCAAATGTTATGCCTATTGTACTAAGCTTGTTTGTTTGTACGTATACTTTCATTATCGATAAATAAATGGTAGGCCTAACAGACTAACTACATGCCGTGGGGCGGGCGTGTGCTCCCACTATCTCCGCGTTCCGCCACCTCCGAACCCAAATCCGTCCCGCCACCTCCGAATTCTTGAGTGACCCTTATAATCCCGTCACTGCCTGCGTTGTTAGCTGTCATTGCATCCACGGCTGCGAAGCCCCGTGGATGGAAGATTTAAAGAAAATTTAACCCTTGGGTTAGGTTAGGTCAGGTTAGGTTAGGTTAAGTTAGGTTTGGACGGAAAGTCTTAACGCAGGAAGTAACCGAGGATTATAGGGGTCACTCTGAAATTCGGAGGTAGCGGCACATGGAGGTGGCGGGACGCGGATATAGCGGGAGGTAACCGCGGCGGGATATTTGCGCACCAAACAGACGTTAGTCATAGGACGTTCCCCGTTCAACCACCCATCGACACCCTCCTCTTCCTCTACCCCGTCACCCACACCACGCTTAATCTGTCGTCTGGTGTTAATTATTGTGCCAGTGTGTTCTTATGATTTTCGTATTACGTGGTGTCTCATGAGTGTTATTTTATGTCGAAACAAAGTAAACTGATCGGGTTTTTTTACCCCGAAAAGAAAAATTTGATGGCGTTAGTTGGTGTGGCAATGGAACGACGAAGTTAAGTGATTTTATTACTCGCCTTTGAAATAAAATTTTTTAAATAGGCCATTTGGCCAAGTCCCGTTAACATATTAATCAAAATATTCAGTGGTAAAGGATAGAGAAACATAACGTTAAATGTTATCATAATGAAAAGCCTAGCCTAAGTACTTAAAAAATAAATGTAATAAAAACTAGTCCACATGCGATCAAAGCAAAAAGTTTAATTTCATAAGTACAAAATTGCATAAAATTGTATTAAGTATTAACACCCGATTTCACTTCCTAAACGCTTAAAAATAGTGTTTAGAGAAGTTATTTTTCTCCAATTTTCCGGACCCCCCTCACTTGTAGGGGGGTATTCCATACCCCCTGGTGGGCGGCGGTCGCCGACCTTGCCCAGGGGGGCAAAGTCCCTAGGGCCGTGCCTGACAGTACCGTTATGTTAAGTTATGTTAGGTTATGTTAAGTTATGTTAGGTTAGTTCATTGGGCTAACCTAACCTAACTTAAAATAACCTAACCATGCGGGGCTCGAATTAGGCCTATATGTTTCTTGTTTTCTGAGAACATCCTTATGACCGTAACTGGCTGCACTTTACTTTAGGTCCTGCACTCATTCGAATGAAAATATTGATCGATATATTGATTATTCAATATATCGTTTGGTTAGTTAGGTAAGGTTAACCTAACCTAACTAACCAAACGATATATCAAATGAAACAATCGAATAATCGGTATTTTCATTCGGCTGTTTGTGTAGGACTTAGAGTAAAGTGCAGCACCGTAACTTAGTAAAATACGAAAAAGTTTGTGGTTGACCAAGTAATTGCTCAGAATTAAGTTACCAAAATTTGAAATATTGAGATAGGTAAGTTACTATATGGAGTACGGACTGAGCTTATTATTTTGAACGGGTACAGTCTCTTAACTGGGCTATGCTAATATCGATTGAAACTATCGATTCGATTAGTAAACCTTTACGCAATTTTTTCACCATCAGCAAGTTTGGTTGGTTAGGTTATGAATTTTATAGCCTAATGGATATAGGGCTACCTATTTAAAAATATCGATTATTAATTAATATTTTCAATTTGATAGTTTCAATCGATATTAGCATAGGCCTAGCCCAGTTAAGAAACTGTACCCTTTTGAATTAGGCCAACCGGTAGGACCTATCGAATGTTTTGATAGCCTATAGGCTATTGAGTGTTTGAATTACCAAGAGTGGACTGTAGCCTACCAAGTTAGAGCTTAAGGGGAGTCGCTACTGAAACTAGTGGTTTTTAATAAAATCCTTTTAAAAATTATCATATATACTTTTTTAAGTTCATTTAGTCTTAGAAAAAGATTTACTGCCGTTAAAGTAAAAAAACATTTTTTTTACATGCTTTTTGGAGTTTTTTAAGTTTTTTGGCGGGAAAAAATGGGGTTTTTTAAATCTCTTATAACTATTTAACTACTGAACCAATTTTATTGTTCGATATCTTATTTTAAAGAGCAAGGAAAGCACATACTTTCTGTGCATACTCATGTTATTTTCTCAATTAGTTTATAAGTTATGGCTTCAAAAATAAGTTTTTGAAACATTTATAGGTTATAAATTTTTATAATTTTTTTTTCATGTACTTTTATTTACCCAATTACAATATCCATGCACAGAAAGTTGATTTATAGTATAAACAATGTGTGGTAAAAAATTCATTCATATAGCTATAATAGTTAAAAAGTTATAAGAACTTATATATTAAAAAAAACAAAATTTTAAAGTCGCGGAAAACAGGGGTTGAAGTTTATACGTTGGTTTATACTAGGCCTAGTTGATGCCCCAAAAGAGGTGTGCGCGCTTCACTTCAAATATTTTTTTCACAGTGACAAAAATATATATTATACCAAATGTTATGTTTTTCTGAAACCTTACAATCCATAGAACAATATAAAAAAATAATAAAAAAAATCTAGTTTTTTACAAAATTGGTAGTTTTTTAGTAGCGACTCCCCTTAAGCTCAGAAAAAAAAATAGGTTTGAAGTAAAGCACATAAGTTAGCTACTTGATTGATCGTGTTTTATTTTGTCTAGGCCCAGTTGTTTTTTTCATGAAATGACTTGATAGAAGTCCCATAAAGATTCTAGATAGGCCTAACTAGGCCTGGGTTTTGACAACTTGTCAAAATACTTAATCGAATTAGTGCTGCTTAAACATTCCTAGATTAAAGACTTAAAATGCAGTATAGGGTCATCTAAAAAAAGGATGTTGGCTAGGATAAACATTTTCAAGGGTAAAGGTAAAGCAACTTAGCCTACTAACTGTATGAGCACAGTTTAATTTTACTTAATCTAATGCAGATAAAATTGCTATTGCATTGATTAGGTACTCTACCTGTTCATTTCCGAATAGTGTGGCTTCTGACATCTTGTAGGTTGTGCTACAACAGTTTTGTTTTAATAAAGAATATTAAAACTATAAATACAATTTAACGTATTTATTTTATCCTGTACAAACGAGCACATTAACAAAACAAAATAACGTACAAAACGGACTTTCGGGACTTTATAAGTAAACACACAAAAAAAATGTTCAGTCCAGTCTACACTTCAGTCAGACTCAGACAATTAGACTGAGTTGAGTGAGTAGTGAGTGAGACTGTGGAAGTGGAATGGACTGGACTTGGAGGAGACTGGAGCCAACAGACAAAGGGAAGAAACACTGCCTTCACTATCGGGTATTTAAGCCCCCTGCAGACGGGGACAGTAGTGGCGTCCAGTAGACCTAGCCATTAATGGCTGCCAGTAATTGTCCGCCTACTGTCTACGTGTGATGAGGTACTGGACGCCTCAACGGCCAGTAGCTACTGGCCGCCAGTAAAGACAAAATAGTTTGAGTTTACTCAGGGGAGGTATAGAAGAGGCTACGATGACAGCTGTGGGCTTCTTATTAGCTCAGCTGAGAGAACGCCATTACCGTAACAAAACGGTCAGCAGCCATCGGCCTCGGTGGTCTAATGGTTAGCGTGCCGGGCTGATATTCTGTAGGTCCTGGGTTCGAATCCTACTGGTAGCGTTAACTTTTTGTCCAAGATTTTTTTATTATCAGCAAGTTTGGTTGGGTTGGTTCGGTTATTACAGTTTTATTATTAAGTCATTATAAAATTTTAATTGAGCAAATTCTAGTTTTATTTAATAAACAGAATTATTTTTCCGATTACTAAACTTTTGTTATATTATTTCTTTATCAGCAAGTTTGGTTAGTTCGGTTAGGTTATGACAGTTTAATTTTATAATTAAAAAATAATAAAATTGAATTTGAGACATTTATAATTTTATTTTATGAACAGAACTATTTTTGCGATTAGTAAACCTTCATTGCCAAAATGCTTTCTACTACAGCGCTGTTCACGGAGGAATTTTGAACTAAATGCCTCATTCGTACCTCCCCTAAGTCAGACCCTCACTATCGCTGATTAGATATTTCTTCTATGATCAGAGGAAAATTGCAACGAGCATCATTATAGTTCAGAATATATGTGAATTTGGCAATTTTTAACCCATAAAACAACAGAAAATCATATTTTCACATAACCGGCTCCGACGACCTTGATTGAAGCATTGATTATATACAGTGTGTAAATTAATGAAGCAAATCTGTATTTTTAAGCCGAAATAGATAGAAACAAAGATTCCATAATTTACTACACCAAAAAAATTGTTTAACCCCTCAAACTGAGTAGGAGGTGACTAATTTTTTTCAAATAATAGCAACCCCTATTGAGTGACCCCTCATTTTGAAAGATTTGTCAAAAGAAATGCAATGACATAAACCCGAGGTGGATATCTCACCCCTAGCCAAAATGGTGGGTAATCCAACATTTGAATTAGGCCTATGTGAAAATCACCAATTTCAATATGGAAACAAATCTGTATTTTTTAACCGAAATTGATAAAAATATATTGTTTGTGGAATTGATTGTTCACGAAAGTTACACATTTTTTTACAACAAAATTGTTTTTCAAACCCTGTAACAGGGTAGGGGGCGATGGTGACTTTTTTTTAATAACAACCCCTCTGAGTGACTCCTCATTTTTAAGGGTTTGTCAAAAGAATTACATTGACGCAAACCCGCGGTATAGGTATTTCATCCCTAGCCTAGATGGCGGGTATTCCAAAGTTTGATGTGGTATGTTAAAAAGCACCTATTTTGTAGGGCTCATATTGTTAATTTATTGAAAGCTTCAGAGGAAGGGAAAGAAAACAAAATACAAAATTACCATGTTAATTTTATGGAGAATAATTTAACTGTTGTTGTTGTAGTTTACTTCTTTATAGATATATTTTATTTTTACAATTTCTTTATTTCATCCTATACTATTAACTCTTCTCTCTAATAAAAACTCTTCCTCTCTCGTAGCAGCAAACCTAAGTACGTGGTATATAATACATTTGATTTGTTTATAGAAATATTTAAGAAAAAATTCAAATTGAAATGTGCTTAGCCTGCAGGTTTGCTACAGTGGGGGCATTTTTGTTTATTAGAGACAATTGGTGTTGCGATGTGAGGCATTCTGAAACTACTAAGAAATACTATTTGTCAGAAAGTTACTGGTTAGGCTGTACGATTGTATAAAAGACTTTCCCTGATACTTATTACCGACAACTGACTATGTTGTTTAGTTTCTTAAGTTTTTCACTGGTTGTATAGTGAGGCACGAATGGGACAGCGTTCCCACACTGATTTTCCAATAATCCCATGTTAATAGTCATTCCGAGTTTTTTAGTCATAAATCGACAATTACAGAACACGTTTAAACAGTTGCAAATAAGTCATGAGTCTCATGCGATAGTGTTATGATTATGAACATTATCCACGATGCTGATTCGCGGAGGCATCACCATTGTCTTCAGCAAGCGCCATGAAACAGCAAATTAAATGAAAAAACTTTTATTTACAAAATAAACAAACGAGAAGTAGTGCATCTTAGCACTAATACAAAGATGATCAAAATGACCGTCTGTTGTGGCTGGTATACTTGATCAGCAGATACAAGCTTGATTCACTTAAAAACTGTTAAAATACAATTAAAACAATAAAATAATGTTAAACCTTACATTATTCAGGATGTAACAAAATGCACGCCCGATTCCACATATCAAAACAAGTAAAAACACATCTAGCAACGGATCCTCGACTCTAGACCGATTCGGCCGCAATCCGCCAACTTGCAATCCTTAAAAAACAACTAACAACTCAAAGCCCTTTGGTGATTGTAAACATTGTCTGTATTTGTGGAGACATAATCATCATCGTCTTCCGCAATTGCCGCAAAACTGTAACCATCTCCCGCGTACCCGATGTTGGTAGATGCTCAGAGGACGGTTACCTTTCCAACATTAACCAATTTATGAATATACCACTGCTTGTTACATGCTGGAACAACAAATGTTTTGTGATGAATAGATAGTTTGAGTTAATAGCCTTCATGCATATATTCCTGGAGGACTATTGGCTGATATGCAGAGCATGGGCGGAACGAGGCCTCGATCAGCTCGGTGAAGGAACATTCTTTTTAAATATTTTATTGACAAATATTCGTTTAAATAGTGATGACACGTACACTGTTAAATCTGTTCCTAAGTCATTTGGCTTATGAAAACTAAGCAAATGACAATATACAGTATACTTGTTAGGGTCTGTTACGCTTAAAAATCGCTTGAAACGTACAAATTTGATTGCTGTTTTCTGTAACCATTAAGTATATTGTTGTAGCACTACATACATGGCTCTGATCTTAGGTTGTCGAACGAGAGGGTGTCTTGTAAGTTTTGACCAACCTGGTAACAGGTTAATCCACATTTAATTCCGTTTCCGTACAACATAAAACAAACAATATAAAACTTCCAAATAAAAATAAATCTAAATAAGGTACAATAAGATGCAACACAGTTTAAAAAAACTTATTTATTATAACAAATTACAGTAGCTAAATGTTTAATAATTATTTACACTCGCAAATTTATATTAAAAACATAGTTTGACAAAAAAAAGTTCTAATAGATGACAAATGTAAACTTAACAAATAAGAGCGCCCTTTACCTAACAAAGCTTCCAAGGATAAATATCAAGTGAGTAAAGACACCAATACTGGAGTGGGTGTGGGGGGGGGGGGGGGGTGCGAGTGAGTATTGTACGCTTGTTGTTCATCGCAGACGGAGTTGTAACTGTTTAACTGCAGCAACTCTGCGGGGTGGGGTCTAGGCCGGATCGTTTAGTGATGACTAAACGGGTAAATTCCTCCGAAACAGTAGGGTGTATTCCTATTGTACCTTCCAACTGTTTGAAGGTGATACCAGCCCTGGAACACAAGTCACATTACAGTTACACACATTATTCCTAATACCTTCAATACTTTTAACTGAAATGGCGACCATACAAAGGTACGTATTTTAAGCCAAGGATGAATGGAGTGAGAGTGTTAAGAGTTAAGATACAGTAGAGTCACACTTTTCCTAACTGGGACTGAACTATATTCAGAATATCAGAATCAGAATCAGAATCCATTTATTGTCATTTGTCAACATTACATTGCTATAGACAACGTCAAAGAACATAAGAAATGCAGTAATATGCAGTATAAAAAGAAATAAGCAGATGTAATAAAATATTAACGTATCGATGGCGAAATTGTCACAAATGTCAATAATTTAGATGCGATCACAAGATATGGGCGTTAAAGGCCGGTGTCACGAGATATACACCCACACGACATCAATAGCGTTGCTGAAGTTTGTGAAATCATTGCTAGCATTTTAATGTTCTTGGTGTTATTGCTCACTATGCGACAGCATATCAATATCCCTAACTTTGGCAATATTGCCAGCTTTGGCGAAGTACTGCAAGCTTTTCCAACATTTGCGATGACATGGCTTTGACAACGTTCAAAGTGTCATAGTTAGTTCTGTAATTTTTTTTATTTTTTTTTTTTTTATATATAATTAATTAATTTCCAAACTATAGTTTGTGAAATAGCAGGGTATGGAACACCAGAACTCTACTGAACATCCAAATAATTAAGACCCTTATAATTAAGTACTTAGTCGAAAAAAGTTTAATAGAATTGCAAACCACTTTTATTAGTACCATGTATTTTTATACTCACTTGAGCGCAGCAGCGTATCCCTGCATAACCTCCCCAGCTGCGGGTCCCAGGAAGTGCAATCCTACTATCTTCTGGTCTCCCCTCCTCTCACAAATGGCCTTCAGATAGCAGTGTTTCACGTTCTTTTGCGGTATGAAGAACTCCGTAGGCTTGTAGTACGCGTGGTAAACCTCCACGTTGTCGGCCCCCAACTGTTTGACGGCCTCCTCCTCACTGAGGCCCACACAGCTGTACTCCAAAGGCGTGAACACAGTAGTAGCTACGTTGTGATAGTCCATCTGTGTCTTGCCGTCTCCGTACAGTCTGGAGGCCAACAGCTTGCCTGCTTGCACGGCCACTGGTGTCAGTTCTGGCTTCTCCTGCGGGCGAATAGAAAATAGCAAGTTATACCCGAACCT